AGTTGTATTTATTGAAATTTTATATAGACCTTCAATTATGGGTCCATTTAATACATTACAAATTACAACTTATTACAATAGTAGATTTGGTATTTACAATAGGATTAAAATAATATGAGTAACGTGTTGAGGAAGAAACCAATTGGTAACATATCATTGGCTAATTTAATAGATATTTACACTATTTTTGTTTTGATATGCGTAGCGAATTTTTTCGGGATGTCAGTACCTAAATGAAGTAGTATCTCTAAAATTAGTTTTTACATTGGAATGAAATAAATGTAGTATACCTACCTTAAAGTCTTATGATTTTAGATTAGATATTGATTTTCTAAAAAATGTTTCATGTGGTTTATGTAGCAAAATGTACTATAGGAAATATGTTTCATTTCCTAAAGGTCATTTTCAATTTTTTTTTACAAATGCCAAAAAAGAAAACATATTTTTCGATAAAGGCTTTGTTAAAATAATATCTAGCTTAAAATTATTCTGTATTATTTCCAATGTATATAAAAAATGACCAGATTATTTAAAACTTATTCTATATTATAGAATCTATAGTATAATATTATGTTTCTAATATTAAGTTCAACTTTTGATTTCATGAATTCAAAATTTTTGGCGTAAAAATAGTAATTACTACCTAACTAATAAGATCATAAAAAAATATAATGGAATATTCAATTTTTTTCATATTAATATTATATATATAATAAAATATTAATTGATTTAAATCTTATCTATAACAAGAATAATATGTAATATTGTTATAAATAATTATTTAAATATGTTACTTTTCAAATCATTCACAAGTTAATTATTACTTATAATAAATTATATCTATTATTTAAATATTGATGTATCATTATTTTTGTGTAATAGTATAATACCTACTGTATAATTTTGTTGAGAAAAATACTTTTTTATGGTTGATAAAGTATGAATTGAAAATAGTCAAATAGGAATAAAGAATAAAATAATAAATTAAAATTGAAATAAAAACCAAGTTATTTAATAGTTTTTTGTATAATAGATACATACTACCAATGCAAGTTAATTAATTGTTCTCACTTCTCTAGTTACGACTAATGTAATTTATTTGAAATGTGTAACCTTCACCTAAAACATTTTGTGCCAAATCGTGGTGTTGGTCAGAAATGATTAATGTTCAGAGGTTTTTTTTTTTTTGTATAGGCTTTCCTTAAAAGTTGAAAATAAAATTTAATTTCTTTGTTTTGTAAGCTTTATGAAGTAAATACTACTATTAATAGTCCAATATTTTTATAAGACTCGAACCTGTATTTTCACTTAAACAATTCTTGATTATATTATTATTAATTATTAAACATACCTAATATGTTTATTAATTAATAATAATAACTAATAATAATAATCGTTACATATTATGTAAGGTTAGTTGGAACTATTAGTAAATAGTATAAGATACAATTAGGTAGCTACTATATTTGTAGATTTAATACAATTTGTTGAACTGTGTTGTTTTTATTTTCTATTTTATATATATTTAAAATATACTTTATCCATAGGTTACCTATTCATTTAAATCTAAAATATTTAGTTTTCTTGTTGATATACTCGTATAATAAAAATAATAAAAAGTGTAATGTATAGTTTTACAATTATTAATAGGTAGTAGGTAAAAATAAATCTGTTCTATTTGCGGAGATATGTTTATATTTTAAAGTATTATCATTCATTTATGATTTATTTTAATTAACACACACATATATATATATATATATAATAAACAACCATTATATATTTTCCGTATTAATACCAATCTGAAAATATGTTAGAAATCGAAGTATCATTAATTTGTGATCCTTATTTATTAAATCATTATTTATGGTATTAATTTTTTTGGCTTTCGATTATTTATTTTTATTTGTTAATACATCAATTATTTGTATTGCCATGTTTTCTATTACTTGTTTTCTGAAACACTAAATTTATCTTTTAAATCTTAATAATTTTTATTAATTCTCCATTCTTTAAGTTTTTACACTACTACATCAATTTATCAATTTACGTTTTTGTGTATAGATTTAAATGGAATACATTAAATTATATTTTTATACCAGTTTAAATAAAATTGCTATATTTATATTAGTATTTTATTACTATTATCTTTTTGTCATAAAATAATTATGCTTAATAATTATTTATCTAAATTAAATTATTTAAATTTTTGTTTCAGGTTAGTTGTATTTGGCCTTGTCTAACAAGCTCGGCAAGAGGTAAATATAATGTTGTTCAATTACTATCCAATTGGCACTATGGTAGTGTGGATTAAGTTTTATGATTAATTTAAACACTATAAAAATATTTAAATATAGTATTTGGAGTATAAAAATTAACTGTATGATTGATATTAACCGGTAAAAACAATTTTGAAATTTTTTAATGGCTGACTAGCATCAGTTATTATATGTACCTATTTGTATATACTCATTAAACAATATATGTATATTCAGTTAGATTATTTAATTGTTGATTGATGAAATTAGAAGAACAATTTTTTTTAAATCCCATGAAAGAGTAACTAGGAATATTGTGTGAAGTTCATTTTATTTAAACATTTATTATTGTTTGGTTGACCAATGGACAACAAGTTAGTTGAGTAACACCAACTTGGCCCTATTCATCTATGAGTATAGTGGGAAATGTGAAAGGTGAATTGTTGACCAACTTTGATTTGTTCTATTTATTTATTTATTTATATTGTTAGGAATTGTAAAATATAAACAATTATTTACTATTTCACAAATGCCAAGTAATTCAATTTTTATTACTAAAACAAGGCTTAATAATTTTAACAGTTTATTTTGTATATATTTATTTATTTTTTATTTAGTATTGTATTTTAATTGAATGATAAACAACCTACTACAGTAGTATGTTAGAAAAAGAATGCAAAAGCTAGGAGGAAATTTTTACTAGTCTAATATTAAAAGCAATTAGTTGGATCATTCTTAGATAAATCAGCAAAATCATAGTTTTACATTTTAGAAGAACTATGTAAACTTTAATTTGTTGAGGGTTTATTATTTGTCCCCTTCTAAAAAATAAGGAATTATGTTACTTAATATTTTATATTTGTGTTTGTTTGTTAAATTATTTTAATTTAAATAAAATATTGTAGTAAATTGTTTAAGTATATTTATATGGTCGAATTATAATTTTAAGTGTTATTTCAGATTAAAATGTATTGTATTTTAATTTATTGGTTATTTACTGTTGATAATTAATCTACAGAACATAAAAAGTATAAGGTATAAATAATATTTAAGGATTGACTATTAAGATTTAATTATAATTTTTTTATGTGCAGTTTTTTTAAACTATGTTTGTTATTTATAGGAAAATTTAATATTGATGTTTAAATTTAATTCAATAAACTAAGAATTTCACTAGTTGAGTTTATCGTAATGAACAAGTCAAGTATATGATGTAATTTATAATGTAATTAATATTTAAGAGTTAAAAATATATAACTATGTGAAATTTCTATTCAATTTTACATAATTAGACTTTAATTGTAGGGAAATAATTAATCCTTGTGACCCAAATTGTGGAAACAAGGAGATTAAAAGGAGATTAAATGTTGTAAAATTGGAATTCGTGAAAATAGCTTGAAGTTGATACATTTTCACTGATTGAACAATTTTAAACTGTATATAATAGTAATTAATTTAATAATTACTATTTATCGCTCTTAACAGTGCATCCTCAGAGAGAAGGCAAATGGGGCAGTCACCCGAAATGCCTTTTTTTTTTTTTAAATTGTTGCTATTTATTGTTTATATCATACTAGGAAAGTGAATACATGTATGAAGTTTACCTCCCATCACTATAAAATAATCTAAGGTTGCTACTATTTCATAGTGTTAATATTATTATAAGTGTATGTATTCAAATTTTAGTGAGTAGAAATAGTTACCTACCTCTACATTATTTAAATTGTCACTCCAATCTGCTTGGAGTGAATACATTTTTATGGTTGGGACTTCTTTAAATTACATTTTTTTTTTACTAAAATTGAGAAACCTTATAATGGTTTTATAATTTTTTGGTATAAAAATATAGTCAAAGTACTTACCTATTCAAATGTTAGTATAATTCTTAATAGTTTAATAATTTTAAGATATAGAATTTTAATATATATACATATATATATATTTATATTTTAAGTGCATAAGTATTTGTTGGTAAATGTATTCAGAAATATTTTTTTGGTTTGTAATCAACATATGTATTCAAAAATGTGTTTTATCAACCAAATGGAATTGGGTCATTATAAATGAGTACTATGAATGATTAAAAGCATTCGTTTTGTATATGATTGTTCCTACATAATTTAAACAAATAAAATAACTGAATATGTGTAAAATATATTTCATTGAAAAATCACTTTGAAATATTTTTGAGAAAATTAAAAATTTAAGAAAAAAATGGTTGATTGATTATGATTTTAGTATCATTTATCTTAAAACGTAAATTTTACAGCTTAATAGGTATTTGTACAGATCGTTAATTCAAAACTATTTGATATTGACAATGTACGTATAATTTTACTGTGTCGCATGAGATTTTTAATTTTAAAGCAGGTTATGCATAAATTCCATTTCTCAGGTTCTTCATGATATTTAGTCTTTTCGGGGTACACTATACGGTTGTTAATCTCTAAACGTATTCAATACATTTATGTGTATACCTTTATGCGATTCATAGACGCACATACACTACTGAATATAAGTTTATACATTGTGTGGGCGATGAACCAGGTAAAAATTTTAACACCGCCAAGTGATGTACACAAGCCGGTGACGTTGTGGTTGTGGTGGGAGGAGGGGGGTAATGGAAAGTGTGCGCGTCTTGACCTACGTTTGTGCGCATGCGTGTGCCGTCGAAATTAACGTCCGTTGGCGGAATTCAAAAACTCACGAGCGCCCCGCCGCCGTGAGTACTGGTCGTCGCCGCGCACGTAGTCGTTATCTTTTTCCTATCGTCGGCGCAGTGTTGTCGTTACCGTCGATCTGTTCATGTGTTTATTGTTGTGCACAGTTGCTAAATCACGGTCCGCGCTTGTTCTTTATCACGCGTAAGAAACGTTACTATCGTTTGATTTTACTTCGTTTCCATTCTTTCCCGAGTGCGTAGTTTGTCGAACTTAATTGTGATTTAGTGCTGAAGTGTCTGATCGAAATCGGGATTTTCAAGTTTTCCAAATTACGTTAATCGATAGTATACGTCTTAATAAATTATAATTGATCGCGCGTAATTGTGCTGTGTCTGAAAGATTAAAAAATAAACAAACGTTGTTGTTGTAAACGTCAAGAACGACATCGAAGAAAAATACCTACACTCACGGTATATATTGTATTTTGATTTATTGTGTTATATCCGATGAAGTCTTTTGCTACCCCCAGCGTTTTGTATAGTGTTTACACGTGTTTAAATTGATCGTTTTCGTGTGTGCAAGTCACTGAAAACTGTATACTTAAAAGAATGAACTCTACAATATAATCATCTTAGGTTTGTTTTCCGTGATTAATTTATGGAACTTCGTTTGTGACTGTACACTTTAAACTTAAACAACGTTTTGTGGTAGATTCTGAACAGGGCCGTGTTCAAGGGGGGTCAAAGGGGGCAATTGCCTCATGGGGACGTAGTTTTGTAAAAGTAAGGGGGCAATATAGCCCCGAAGAAAAAATTTGGCGCTGAAATGTTTGACATAGCTCTGATTCTGAATTATCTATGATGAAACTGTAAATTATATATAACTTTAAATACTCTTAAAATTAATTTTTTTTTTGTTTAATATATGGATTTGGTGGTTATATGTTTTTATGTTTTGTATAACATTTAAGATCTACAAACGATTATTGCACTTAACGTTTAGCAAAATAATAGGATTTTATTATTCATAAATTATTTAAAAATTATTAAAAAATAACTTTTTCGTTCCAAACAGTAAGCATGACGAATGCGAAATTTAGAAATAAACGCTTTGACAATTTCTCTAGTTAAGATAAAACTGCCAAAAGCATCTTATTGTTTCCGGTACGATGAACCTATTACGTTCTACTCGTTTCCTTTTTTCTTCGAGTTTATGTATTCTTCAATTAATATTTTACTCTAAAGACAACAATCAAAATGTACCTATATTAAGTTACCATTGATAGTCTAAATGGTGTTGAGTTTAATGGTAAAATATAGATGGTTGATTAATTCTATTAGAATAAATTAGGTACTATTATTTAAAATATTGATTTGCATTTTTGAACAGAATTGCCTTCGTACATTAATTTTTGCTTTATTATACTATATAAATTGTAATAATCGAATTTGTATAAAATTAGATTTAAATATAACGGTAATATTTAACACGTTAATTTGTGATTTTAAATTTAAAAAAAAGAAATTAAAAACACTACAATTTATAAAAACAAGTATGTAAACAGTTTCAGTCAATAATATTTTGAATTCAATGTAAATTTTCTAATAAAAAATAATAATAGATAAATTATTTTACATGATAGGTATGAAAATGAATACGCATTTATTAAATGGTTTGTATACTGTACTCCCACGTGTATATATTTATGTATATATTATTTGTCTATACTATAAATGAATAATATGTTTTCTGAATTATAGTTTTATTCATTTGGTGACTTGGTAGGTTTTTTCATAATATGAACCGCCAAAACATATTGTTCAATAAAAAATGCTGAAATTATGTTTAATGGGGGCAATTTAAAAATATTGAAAAACTGCATTCGTCCCTTGTTTTGTTGAACCGAATGCAAGGCTATTATGACTTCGACGATATTCTCGATCCTTTTCATATACGGTTTTTTCTCATCCAAATCGTTCTTCTATAATAGAAATAAGTTACATTCTCTTTATTACACTTTTCTTGCGTGATATTATTATAATGATATAAATGACGTCCATCCGTTTTCGTGTTTTATTTCTTAAAATTTCCTCTACGTGATTTACTTACCGTAAAATATTTTCAACTCCCTTTCTGCTCACAAATAGTTTTCAAAACTGTAAGTATTATTAAAAAAAAAAAAAAATAGTATTCATTGTTATTGCCCTTTATTTGTCCTTGGGATTTGACATTTAAAATATTTATGACAAGGTTAGGTTAGACTGGATTCGACTAGGTTATTTTATATCTAAAAATTGAGTATTGTTTAGTTTTCTTATATATTTCACCAAATTCTTAACATAAAAAATTATATACTATTAGTTGAAATACACTAATAAATAACTAAAGTAGTTTGTATGTGGAAATATAATTAAATATCTTGAGAAATCTTTTGAAGTAATATATATTTTTATTAGATCTTGATATTATTGTAAATACCCTTGATTATTGATAATTTTTTACGAAATTATTTATTGTTACATTATATCTAAATCGAATGAGTATAGTAATAAAAATGATAATTAAAAATTGCAGGGTTAATTTTACGAATACAATATATTTAAAGCCAAATTATTATTTAATGTAAATGTTCTTTCTTTTTTTACTAAGTTTCTTTATTCAAATATCCGTGATATCTGTGGCCATTGGACGTATTGGATTCAGATACATTTATATAGATTTTATATGATGATACGTAGAATAACATTTAATGATTTGACAGATATCGAGTAAATAAAATAAATTATAAATTACGCATTGAGTAATATGTAGATTTACACTTTATTTATAAGTTGAGTTTCTGTTAGGAACTGAATGAGTTTGAAAATGTTGTTGGGTTCGGAGTTGAGTATATCCGCTAGGTGATCTGAAATTCGGACTTGTTCTCTTTCCTTGGCGTAAATTCTGCATTCGGTTAAAATGTGTTTGACCGTAAGAAAAATTCCAAATAGGGAGGGGGGGTCATATTTTGCCATTAAATAAAAGTGTGTGTCCTATTCTGAAATGGTTGATGAAAGTATAGTGTTTTCTTGAAGTGTTGATAAGGAATAGAAAAGGCTGAACGGAGTTCTTAATTTCATTAAGTTTGGTGGACATTTCATTCCATTCGCTTCGACACAGACGTAATATGTCATCTTAAATTTATTTTAGGTGTGTTTTTTATTATAATTACTATTGTCAGTATATATTTTTATTGCAAAAAAAACCTATCAACAAATGTTTTTTAGCTAAGGACAACTCTGAATTGGGGAATTTTTTTTTACTATTAATAGACAATTCGTCATTAAAAAAATCCACTCCTCTTCCGGCAATTTTGTTGTCATTACACTTTCTTTCAGAATTTTGACATCATTGTTCCTTATATGACACACTAATTGATTTATAGATGTTACGCCCACCCTGTATGGTGGCAAAGATATAGAAAAAGACTCTGGTATTTACCACGTAAAATCGTTCCATATTTTTTCCTATACAATTCTGACATGTCATATTTGACCAATATTATCGATTAGTTTTCTTTGCTTAGTTGTTGTTTGAGTATCCATTTTCATAAGTGTTGGGCGTGGATGTAACCTCAATTTTTTATTTTTCAATTTATTTAATAATTTACAACTGCTGTATGTCTTGCCATATACTTAAGCATTAAAAAAATAGTTGTTCCTTTATTTATCAATAAAAATGTGTAGTTATGAATATTATACGCAAAAAATGAAAATATTTTAACAAAATGTGCCAAACTACCTAGGTATAGTTTATAACCAACATCATATTTACCTAATATTATAATAATGTGTTTCTTTATCTTTAAAATAGGGTAAACGGCCGTCAAACGGTTAATGACCTATCAGCAGTTATAATATTTTCTTGAAGAGGTTGAATGTATCTTCCTCTTTTAAAATAAAACCTTCATCATAGCACTTGGTAATTGCCTGCTGTTTGTTGCGTTGACGGAGTGAAAAATGGTACCAATCCGGTTGTCACAATCGTAACCATAGCCGGAATAACGGTAATGACCGAGAAAATTCATGACGTAACTCTAGGTTATTGAATTGCTTAGTTTATTCTTATAATTGCAGAAGTATATTCTAAGTACTGACTTTCCTATATTATTTTCTACCATTGTATTGAAACCATGTGTTTGACAAAAAAGTTTTAACAATTATTGTATTATCTTTTTTGTTCTTTGATACCCCCATTTTTAATTAAATTATCATTACGCGGGTAATTTTGAATATACAACATCGAATATATTATCATATTATTATAAAGTATTAAATTTGTTTTGTACTTTGAACCTTAGTTGTTTTCTAATTTGTTTTTGTTATATATTCCAAGCAAAATTAGACTTAACAATTTTTTTTTTTGCTTGTGATCGTTTCTTCTGTATCACGGAATATTTTCATATAGTATTAACTGTTATTAAATACTTTGCAACTGTGGTAGGTACTTAATTGTGTTATTATTAAAAAAAATGTAAACTTTAAAAAACATCGAGTCGATTTCTAATTATTTAGGTATAAGATAATATCCTGATTTGCAACTAGTGCTTTTATAATAGATAATATAATTTTAACTGATTTTTATAAAAAAAAAATTTTGATTAAATTTAGTATTAATGTATAAATAATTAGGTAGTCAAATAAAAAAAAAAAATTATTATAATACCATGAAAGTGCTAAAAGTTGCTAAAAGTCGATAATACCTCAATTTTATAATGTCACAAAATGCAAAATGCAAAAAATAAAAAATAAAAGTATATACATACTATTTTATAACAGTCAATATTTTCTGTGTTGTCTTAATAAAAAAAGTGGTTTCATAAAATTTAAAACATAACTGATTATGTTGTTTAAAGATGAATACCATAAATAAATATTCGTTGACATTAATTGTATGCGTATATTGTAAATGAAAATATGCAAAAGATTTCATTGGATTAAACTATTATATTCGTTTAGTTTTAACAACATTACTATTATCACCACCACCACCACTACTACCGACACCGCGCATCTTCTACCGGAACTCTTGAATCGGTTACACACCTTACAGAAATAGTAAAGTAAACGTATATAGAATAAAGTACGCCTCCGAGTTTCATCATTTTCCGTTCAGCTGTCGTCACGTCCGTCCTTAGCTCCTTTGCCACAGGTACAATCCCTCCTTTACTCATCCATTGTTCCATTGTCTATGGTACGGTTACAGATATCCATTATTATCATCATTGCAATTATCTCGTTTCGCGCGCAGCCGTTCAAAAATGTTCGATAGACGATCCCAATTCGACTATTATTCGCGATGACGTTGTAGTAGTGGACTTAAGTACTGGGTGCGTGATATGCAGATGTTTTCTGATGAGAAGAAAAAAAAATTTGAATATAAATGCATATAACAGGCGTCTGTGATTTCGAACGTGCAACATTGAATATAATGTGAACGGGGATCACTGCTGTAGCAATAAATGCTTATGTCGCCGTACAGCAGAGAACACCATACTGCCGTCGTCGCGCCCGTTTCGACGGTGTCGCCGGTGATCGAAGAGTTTGGCAGCAACAAAAAAGACGACGGTATCGTCGGTGGACTGCCGTCGTACCATCATAAATATTCTGAATCCGGAAAACCTGCTGCCGGTTATACCAATGGATTTTCTCTGCTCAGACGTCTTTTGCGCTGGTGGCTCGCTCGGTTCGGTCAAAAACCGTTGGATAAAAAAGGTACGTTCAGAATATATTCGTATGTACATTGTACATAATATGTGTGTAATAATTAGGGCAGTGAAGTTGTCGCCTTAAAAAAATTTAATTTATGAATTAAGTTCAATTAATTGAAATTTAATGAAATGTTTAAATTCTTATTTGAAAGTCACAAATTTAAGCTAATTTAGCAATTGATTCAAGTATTTATAAAACTATATAAATTCAATGTTTCCTCTGCCTTAATAATGATAATGCAAATATATACATGTGGTTTTATATAGTTTATATGTTCAATTTGTTAGATCGTTAGTTTAAGTAAATATTTAGCCTTAAACAAATATACGAATATTGTATAAAAGGGATGTTATTTAAATGTCTAAGTACTTATAATGATAATGAAACGTATTTCTAGGTCTTAATCTTATCTAATACGATTTGAATACCACCGATGAAATGGTTATGGGTTTTATGTTTTTGTGAATACGGTTTTATCGAATTTTGGTTTTTTTACATTTATAATTATTGTAGATCTAAATAACTTTTTATCCATAACACATGTATAGTTGCAACAAAAATTTTACTACGTGTTTATTATGTATGTGCACGGATACAAAAAACAATGTAAATGTATCATTATTACATTCTAGTGAACTTAGATTGCAATGAAGTCAATAAATGGATAAAACAGTATCCAGCTGTTGGAACTAATATTTTTGTAATGCTATGTTTTATACTTTAATGTTGTGTGTTATGTGTATATATGTGCGTGGGTATGTGTAGGTCGTATGTTTAGTATTTTTCTTGACTAACCCAAGGTTGCGATTACAATTGTTTTAATATTTTGTGCATTTATTTTTTGTCTATTATTCATATTTTATTCATATTTTACAATAGATATCATTAAATATATGTGTATTGTATATTATCAATATATCTTTAGAATAGTAGATATTATGGAGTTATAATTACTATTATTATTTTTTTTTTTAAAAAGTTAGCTGATGAGATTTTTATTGTTTTTCTGTTTTTCAAAGTTTTAATTTTAAAATATTTTTATGAGAATATATTTTTTTAAATTATTCATCATATAATTTATAAAACATACAAAGATATTTGTTTTAGTATCTTTTATAGATGTTCAAATATTTCGAAATTTAATTATGGGTACAATATACTGACGTATTATGAAACTTTTATTGAAGTATAGGGTTTGAATTCTCCTTAGTATTAATTTAATACTTTTATTTATTTATTTAAGACTTTTGAACGTATTGATTTAATGATCTTAAAAATTTAATTTTAATTTTAAATTAACCTAAGGGTTTTTCATAATTACATTATTGTATTTTTTTTTTTGAAACATTAAAGTTTATAAATGAGTTAAAAAATTATTTATTGTTTATAATATTTTATTTCAATCATATTTGATTATTAAGTAATTATAATTTTACAAGTATTTAACAAACAATAAATACATGTATTTTCATACCTAATCACTTGAGCTAAATTATATATCTTTAAATATAATATTATTATATTATATTATATTGTTATTTATCTATAGTTATATCTTTATAAGCATAAATACGTGTACACTAGTTTTAGGGGTTCAATCATCCCTCCCCCCCTCGAAATTCAGGAAAATTATTAAATATGTTTTTGTAGAGTTAATGTGATTTATAGATATTAGTATCAAAACAATCTCCTCTCCCATGAAATTTTTTTTTTGTGTACGCGACTGTTTTGATTGTCAGTTAAATTGAAATAGATCAATTATTAATAATAAGAGTCGTGTTTTTATTGACTTTGTATATAGGTACCTGATGAATTTTTAATACGGAACCGATCGTATATTACTAATATAATAACACTTTAGGCTAATATTTATTTATTTTTTATTTATTTTTCTATTGATAAATAATTATTGAACTTTTGAATGATCATTAAATTATTATAAATTCTTTTACCTACTAATCACATAGCTGTAAACCTAGTTTCAATAAAAGTTATTTTACTTAATCAATAAGTGATCAAACTATATGATTTATATAATAAAGTTATATTATTAAATTGTTCCAACTTGTAGGTAATAGAAAAAATAAATACTTTTCTTTAAATCAAAATGTAATTGATTAATTTTTATATTATTTTTTGTAAGAAGTTGAGTTCTAATGTCAAAAATAAAATAATAAGAGGTTAACATAACGGTAATAATTGTGTTGAATACAGTGGCCAACACTAGTGCAATAAACCATGATTCTAAATGACATAACCTTAATGTAGAAAGTTACTAATATAGGTCAATTAGGACCAATTAGATGAAAATAGATAATTTAGTCAGTTATTTTAAAAATCTCTTCTTTGTCTTAAATTTTAAATGAATTTAACGTTTATTTTGTCATAAATATTTAATTATGTTTATAATTTATATTTGTAAGTATTATAATATACAGTCATCAGATTTTGTATAAGTAGTGAAGCATAATATAATATAAAAATAATAGAATATTGTTTTTGTTTTTGAATGTAAAATAGTTATAATTTTAATAAATTAAAAACAAATACTTTGCAAATTATACTAAAACTACTAGAGTAAAAAAAAATTAAATTAAATTTTATTACTTTTGTACTAAGTCTATTGATGAAATAATGATGAAATATATATATTTTTTGTTCTACTAATGATTTTTATGGGACATTAAATTTTGTGCGTTAAAATAACGGCGTTTATTACTTATGGTTGCTATTTATTTTTTTTATTTTTTAAAATGTCACGCCACACGAATTTTGACCACTAATTATTATAAACTAGCGAATATATTTTGAACTTGCGTTCCAAAATGTATTACTAAAAAGTTGGCTATACTGAATCAACTATTGATTTAGGTTAATTTTAATATATTTTTATCTTTATCAATGTTAAAATCAGCAGTCTATGCAAAATGTTAACATTATTTGCTAGATCACATGCGCAAGTCATTGAACATCAACATAATGTTCTTCTGTATATAGTAGTGTCGGTGATTTTTTGATTAGATAAAACTGTTAAAGTTGGTGCAGGAATACATTGTGACAACAATCCGTATTTAATTGGATTTATATTATACCTTGACGTGTCTTCTATAACTTAGAAATCGTAGACTTAGTTGATTAATTTTTCATGACATTGTAAAAATGAGTTAATTTCTTAATTTATGTTTGTTTTAAAGTCTGAAAACATGAATTTTTTGAATTCTCTATTGATTTTTGTAAACTTTTATTTTTTATTTTTTTTTTTTTTAATAATTATTATTTCAGGCTTTTATTTCAAAAAGTTTTACTTATTGGACCAGGCTAGGAAATAGCTAACTTATAATTTTGATACAAATTACAATTTAGTTTAACAAGTTCTTAAAGTTTCTATTTAAAAATGAAATTAATTATTTTTATCGAAGATATATCTGCCGAGGTTTTTTCAATTGTAATGACTCACTGCTTTTACGTTTAATTTTACAACACACCTATATCATATTTATGTTTAGATGACCTACAGAAATTAGTGGCCTACTTCAAAATATTTTTGATTTTATCTTTGATCATTTTTATTTAATCATCGTTTTTCTTTAATTATATTTAAACTTAAATAATAATTTAAATATACCTCCTATTTTATATTAGTTGTCTTATTTTGAAATATTGTAATTTGTACAAAATGATTCAATACAATACTTGTATAGTATAGATTTTTCATTTTGCCTATTATTAAATATACAATTCTCAAATTGAGAGTGTACATAATTAGTTAAAATTTAAATCAAGATAAGAACTTAAAACTCCATTTGAAATAATTAAAAATAATAACATGTGTAAATTAAAAATGATTTTTAATTTAGGAAAATTTTAAGGATCTATATGAGCAAATTATATTATTTTTATTATTACGGATTAAAAATTTTGATATAAAGTATTTACTAGAGTTTTAATCACAAATATTTTTTTTATTAGTTTATGTATAATTTTTGTGGTCATTGGCTTGTAATGGTGCAGTGAAACAGTTGTTTTTATTTCTTTTTCGTTACATTAAATTCTAAGAACTAGTATAAAATAGACTATAATGTAAATTGTAAAATCATTAAGTAATGGTTAAATTAACTACATAATAGGTATCATAATTGTCTTTAAAACAATACTAAAACAAATATATATTTGAATCTTAGTCTTTTTATGTAGAAAATGGTGATTGGTTTCCTATTGTTCATTGCTCTTACTCTATAATATTTCATGCAGTAATTTTTAATTAGACATGATTTCATAATTTTATTATTTAATGTAGAATTAATTAAAAAATAAATTTATTGCATTGGTAGTTGATAATTTTCGATGAATTTTAAAGAATTTAAAATCATTATTTTAAGTATTAAAAAATTAATTATAATTATTATTACATTTTAAATGGTTATTAGTCTCAATTAGATTCGTTTTACATTTTATAAGTTATAAATAACAAAAATAATACACATATTTAATTCATATAATGAGAGTGGAATAATATTTAAAAGGTACCTAGATGTCAACTCACGATTCTAGCATGTATAACAATTTTATATTTTTTGTTTTGAAGTTCCAGTGATTTGAACACGATAACAATTCAATGAGATACATTTTTTATTTCTCATGTTCAGTATACTAAATCTTAATAATATAAAACTGATTTAACATAAATCTTACGAAGAGTGAATTCAATTTAGATTTTAGATTTAGTTATAATGCTAAAAAATCAAAAACAGTTATTCTTGGCGTGACTCTTTGTTGGATCGCGGCTACATTCAAGCAGTTGTGTATTATATTTTTCGTTTGTTCGGCACCGGATAATACGACTTGTTCAGATTATTTCGGGTGTATATAAAAACAATGGATACACTGCGGACTTATATATTTTAGGTATACTGATAGTGTTGCCGTAAAACTTTTCCACCAGACTGTCCGGAGAGAAACTCAACAATATAAAAAGAAAAGAAAAAATATGTACATATAACAAT